CTTTTCCGTAACCCAAACTTCTGCTGAAAACTCTAACACTACATTTTTAAACCTACCCCATCCTCTTCGACCCATTGCCTATCCTCATTTGCCCATCTATCCTCCAAAAGCTGTTTTTATCTTACCCTAACTGCCTCCTTTTTATTTATAAACCTTTACCTCCTTTCCCTATGATTCTATTTTCCCGTACCCCTCACCTTTTTTCTTCAGGTAGCTAAAAAACTAGAAAGTGATTTAAATACGTGGCCCTCTATAAAATGTACATCCTGAAGTTATCAACAGTCTTTATTACCAATACTAATCCAACAAACTACTTTTTCCCCTACATCATTCTTGTTATTATTTTTTTCTTTTCTTAAAATAAAGTTAACCTATAACTAAACCCTTTTCTATCAAATTTAAACAAAGGGGTCCCCTTATCTTTTTCACCCCACCCCCAAATTACCTACCACACCCTCTCTAAAAGTTTCTCCTACTTTGCATTCAGGGCCCCCACCACAATTTCTCTCACTTGGTTTTAAAGGCTCCCATACATTCACTTAAATCTCCCCCAAAAAACTCTTCTCTCCTCTCATTCCTTCTTCTCCAGGTGCCTACCGTTATTATGACCCCCTTCTCGCATCCCCAAACCTTTACTTTAATCCCATAATTCTTGAATTTTCACTTCTATTCTCTTTTCTCCCTTTTCCCTAACAGACATTAACTTAACCCGCTTCCCTCCCTTTCCAACCTCTCAGATATCCAGATTTTAAACCCCCTTTTTTCCCCCCCCGAAACTCCCCCACCCCCTTCATAATTTTAAAATATATAATATATATATAAAATATTTAAAATTTTTATATATATATATATATATAATAATATATATTTTATAAATATATTTTTTTTTTTTTTCCAAGCGGTCGTCTCCCCCGAGGCAGGGTGACCCAAAAAAAGAAAGAAAAAACCCCAAAAAGAAAATACTTTCATCCATTTTAACACCTTTTCCCCACCACACATTATCACTGTTTTTTCGAGGTGCTCAATCAACATTTTAACATTCCCTATAAAATACAAACATATCCTCCCAAAGCAAAAATCCCAAAAACCCTCCTTTAAAGTGCAGGCATTGTCTTCCCCTTTCCCGGACTCAAGTCCCACATATGAAAATAACGGGTTTTCCCTGAATCCCCTTTACAAAATTTCCCCTAATCCCAAAAACGTAGGTCCCCAAATACATTTTCCCCCCCCCCATTCCCCCACTAAAAACCTCATGCACCCCCTTTCGGGGAAATCCCAAACCCCCCACCCACAAAACCTCCTTTACCCCCTCTTTCCCAAACCCCTTTCGAGGGCGACCCCCCCCGAAAGGGTTGGAAAGAGGGGGTAAAGGAGGTTTTTTGGGGGGAGGGGCTTTGATAAATAAGAAATTTCGTTCGGGTTTTAACCCCGGAGGGGTTTGCCACCCAGGATAACCCAAGAAAATCGTGCGTCATCGGGGACTGTCCCAATTTTTCCTTGGGGGCCTTAACTTGCCCCGGGGTGCGACCCCCACCAGTCGACTATACCCAGGTACCTTTGCGCTAGGTGAACAGGGGCAACAGGTGTAAGGAAACGTGTCGAAATGTTTCCCCCGCCCCAGAATCGAACCCGGCCCTCCGGTGGAAGCGGGGGCTTTACCCCCAGGCCAGAAAAACGTGCATAGCGGGGTTTGAATATATATTATTATATTTATTAATATAATAATATATATATATTAAAAATAAAATATAATACATAAATAAAATAAAAATATACAGTGGGCCCCTGGTTAACGATATTTTTTTTTACTCCCGAAGTATTTCAGGGGCCAGACTGACCGAATTTGTTCCCAAAGAAATATTGTGAAGTAGATTGTCCCTTTTGACCCCCCAAACACCGTACAAAAAAACACTTACATAAATACCCTTCATAATTGGGCACTTTGGGGGTAAAGTTTTGCGGGGCCACTTATATAATATATATAAAATATTTATTATATTTATTTAATATAATAACAAGACCCCCGCATAACGATCACCTCCGAATCACCAATTTTGAAGTGTAAAAATTTTTTAAAATGCGTTTTGGATGTTTGGGGCGAAAACTTACTTCACAAAATTCCTTTTTGGGAAAAAAATTCGGCATATGGACCGAAAATACTCCTGGATGAAAAAATATCGTTTAACCCGGGGGGCCAGTATATAAAATTATATATAAAATAAATAATATATAAAAATTATATATATAATATATTTATATATATATATATATATAAAAATATATATTTTTATTTTTTTTTATCACCCGGCCGATTCCCACCAAGGCAGGGTGGCCCGAAAAAGAAAAACTTTTACCATCTTTCACCCCCTCATGCTTGCCAAAGGGTGCTTACACACAGTTTTTAAAATGCAACTTTAACCCCTCCTTCAGTGCAGACACTGACTTCCCATCTCCGGGCCAAATCCCCGGGCCCGCCGGTTTTTCCCCAACCCCTTTTATAAATGTTACTTTGCTACACTCCAAAACACGTCAAGTCTAAAAACCATTTTGTCCCTTCACCCGCAAAAAGCTCCCGCCCCGCTGGAAGTCCCAAACCCCTGCACACAAAACCCATTACCCCCTCTCTCCCAAACCTTTCCTACCGACCCCTACCCCCCTTCCTTCCACACAACGAACACTCTTGAAGTTTTCTGTTTGCCCCTTCTCTCTAATGTCCCAACCCCCTCCCTAACCCTTCCCCCACCCTTGGACAACAGTTTTGGTAATCCCGACCTCCCCCCTAACTTCCAAAATACGAATTTCTGATTTTATTCACACCCCACATGCCCTCAGACGGACATTCCACTGCCTCCAGCCTTCTCCTCGCTGCCCAAAATTTTATCACCCCTCTTTCACCCCAAAAGAGCGTTGGGAAAACTTACTCCATACATTTCCCCCCTTTGCCCCCCAAGGGAAAAGTTTTTGTCTCCACAGCCCTAAAATGCACCACTCACTCTTTTCCCCCCCCATAAATTTTAAGATTCACCCATCTTTCATGACCCATCCGCTGACAGGGCCACTCCCAAAAATTTTGATACATTACCCCCCTCCTACTCTCTCCCCTCCCAAACTGATATTAATCTTTTTCACCTAATCTTTTTATCCTCATAACCTTACTCTTTCCCGATTCACCTTTTTTTTCTTTTTTTTGCACACCCTACCAAATTTTATCACCAAAACTCTTTCAACTTCCTTCAAACTCCCAAGAGCACTGTCATCACAAAGAGCAGCTTGACAACTCCCCCTTTTTGTGTGTGATTTTTTTTCTTTTTTTCCGCCCCTTGCCCAAACCCCCGCATTTACTTTTCCTTACAACCCCATCTATAAATAATTAAACAACCCCCGTGACATCACCATCCTTGTCCCCAAAAGGGCCCACTTTTACTGGGAAAAAATTTCCCCCCTTTCCTACATACTCTAAATTGAGCCTCACTATCCTCGTAAAAATTTCACTGCTTTCAGTAACCCACCTCCTACCCAAAACCTGCAACAACTGCCACATTTCCCCCCCACCACCCTGTATACGCCCCTTTTCCCAAAACCATAAATGCCACAAAAAACCTTTAGCCTTACTAAATTGTTCACTTTTGTTTCACGTAAACACCCCGTCCACACACCCCCTCCTTTCCAAAAAACCCCTTGTTCATCTTATCCTATTCCCTCTTAATCTTTTTTTTCAATAATAACTCTACCATACACTTTTCCAGGTATACTCAACAGACTTATCCCCCTATAATTTTTGCACTCTCTTTTGTCCCCTTTGCCTTTATACAAAGGAACTATGCATGTTCTCTGCCAATCCCTAGGTACCTTACCCTCTTCCATACATTTATTAAATAATTGCACCAACCACTCCAAAACTATATCCCCACCTGCTTTTAACATTTCTATCTTTATCCCATCAATCCCGGCTGCCTTACCCCCTTTCATTTTACCTACTGCCTCACAAACTTCCCCCACACTCACAACTGGCTCTTCCTCACTCCTACAAGATGTTATTCCTCCTTGCCCTATACACGAAATCACAGCTTCCCTATCTTCATTAACATTTAACACACACTTAACACACACTTAACACACACACACACAGTTCTGTTAAACTTACACAAATTAACATAATTTTACTCAAAATTTCTTTGAGGTTCAACCCACTATTAACAAAATATTCTTGCACTAAAGTAACAATTTCATCAATCTTAAAACAGCCTCTCCGATTTTTATGCAACTGCTGCTCAACTTTCTCTTAGTCTGTAAAAAGTGAACGCTTCTAAAGAAGGATTACCATGAGTCTAGTGAAGGGCTCTTGATCCTAAGAACTGGAGCAAGGGTGGGTCCAGAATATTTACATGGGAGAGGTTTAAGGGTGACAATCTAGAAGGAAGGAAGGTGGGACTAGAAGCTGGTCTTGAAGCTGCATTTTTTGAACACGCTGGCCGTCTCCCACCGAGGCAGGGTGACCCAGAAAAGAAACACTTTCACCATCACTCACACTATTACTGTCCTCAAAGAAGCACGCAGATAAGACAGTTTAGATGTCACTCTAAACAGCAAATATCACAAACACCTCTATTATTATTATTAACTGGGGTTTTGGGGTGTTAATGGAGACTGAGGGGACTCCACTGAATTGGAGGAGACCCCCCTCTTTCTTTGGATCAAATCTGATTTCCTCCTATTCCCAGTGTTGTATGACCTCTTACAAATTTACCGTTTCACTGTGTATATATAATAATTTTTTCAATGCACCAGTCATATCCCACCGAGGCAGAGTGGTAATTTATATAGGAGGAGGAGGTTACTATCCCCTTGCTCCTGGCATTTTAGTTGCCTCTTACAACATGCATAACTTATGAAGGAAGGATTCTTCTCTACTACCCCATGGAGAATAATAATAACATAAGCAAAGTAAAGAGAAACAGTTGTCATAAACTATTTAATGCCTCCAGGAACCACACACTGACCTGCTTATTATAGAGATGTCTCGTGTAGTGACCAGCATCAACATTGGAATCCCTGACAATGGTTCTGACTGAAAAAAACAAAGATCGAATAGCAAGTTGCACTGAAAAAAAAGGTTAGGTTAGGTAAGGTTTGTCAAGAAACAGGACAAGTGTTTCCTGATGGATGCAGGTCTTAGTCATGTGATGACCTACAGTTGGAGCTTTTGGTCACCTGACTAAGACCTTCCACTGGCTTACCCCTCAACCCCTTTAAAAATTATGGTTATAATTATAACTGAAAAAAGATTAAACAAAATCTTTATGAAGGCTGAAAAAGTTAAATTTTATATACCAAACATAATTAATTTATACACACAGTATAAAGAAGGAACTCAAGTTTGATCCCAAAAAAGGGAAGGACAAGTTAAATTCCATGGATCAAGAGCTCTTCATTAGCATTATGCCACTCACTTAAAGGTGGGTGAAAGTAATAATACAAACTAGAAGATGTGTAAAGGTTAAATGATCACCCGAGTATGGTGGGTTTGCCCCCACATGGGTGGTGGTGCTCGGGGTGCCTGGTGGTGGTGGTGGGTCATGGCACGGAGTGAGTTCTGAAGACTGAAGGCAGTGTCAGGGTCATCAAGCACAAGACTGTCACCTGTAATGAGAAATTCATCAATGAAGAATGAAATACAGCCTCTCCTCACTCAGGGACGTACTCGTTTACCGACGACTCGGACTTAAGAAGGGTTCTCTGACTGGTATGCACACCTAAATAATCAAATCAAATCATATGTATATTAAGAGCTGATTTCCTCTATTCTGTTTATTACAATATACAGTACACTACCATATAAACATTTAAAAATATAAAAGAAATGTTATAAATGTTGCAAAGGTGAGATTAGAACAATATCAAAGATGGTTGACACAAACCCACTATGGGGTTACATTCTGACGAGCCCATCGTAAGTCAAAAATATTGTAAGTCAAATGTGAATGATTTGATAAATAACTACTGTCACTGAATAAGTAAATAAATAATTACTGTAGCTAAATACCAGAACTGAAAAATAAATAAATGAATATAAGCTATGGACTTGCTGCCTTCATGCTGGGTAATTATCTCAAGTTTCATCTCCAGACTAACTGCTTTTGCACCATTGTAAAGTCAAAATACTGTAAGTCAAACCATCATAAGTTGAGGAGCACCTGTATATTAAACAAGATTTAGAAAACTGACCTTCATCAGTCGGTGGCCAGAAGGTCACAAACAGCACACCGCATCCCACCACTGCTAACTGTAATGACAACATAACATAATCGCAATATTTTAAGTAATGCACTGCTACGCTTGTTCAACTTTATTAAAAATATACATATATAATAACATTATAAATCACTTGATCTAAAGAATGAGACCAACACTCCCCTTCCTTGGATCAAACCTGATAATAATATAGCCTGTACAGTATTCTTCGCCATCAATATACAAAAGTTTTCTTAGTGACACATTAGTAAGCACTAAACTAGTGTGAGTCATTAATTGTGGAGAGTTGTGGAAGACTGATCCTCTGTCTGATCACAGGCTGGTCTGTGAACAACCAGGCTGTTGGTGCTACACTATCACCAAGATATAATCTACTTTCAGGATGTATTTACTTTACATTATTAAATAAATATATACTGTATATGTATATATGTAGAGAAGTACACTACCATTCCTCTCTCTCCCTTCCCAATTCCTGGTCATCTCAACACTACCATTCCTCTCTCCCCAACATTACTATTACTCTCTCCTCAACACTATCGTTTGTTTATCCCAACACTACCATTCCTCTCCTCATTACCATTCCTCTCTTACCAACACTACAATTCTTCTCTAACCAACACTACCATTCTTCTCTAACCAACACCACCATTCCTCTCTTACCAACACTACCATTCTTCTCTAACCAACACCACCATTCCTCTCTTACCAACACTACCATTCTTCTCTAACCAACACCACCATTCCTCTCTTACCAACACTACCATTCTTCCCCCCCATTAAGAGTCAACTCACCAGTACTAGGGTGAAACAGGCCATCTGACAGTAAGCTTTTCCTATGCAAGTCTCCTTACTGATGGTGTCACTTATGTGCCTCATGATGCAGTTGATGTCACAACTAAGTAATGTCACCAGTGAGGTGCTGAAGTAACTACTGAGATGCTGAAGTCACCACCAAGGTACTGCTGAAGTCACCCAGTGTTCTCAAGGTGACACTGACTCTGCCATAAGTTCTTACTCTCCAACTTTTTGTTCCAATGTCTCCTGGATGCTGAAGTCACCCATGTACTGATTTCATTCAGATGCTGAAGTCACCCATGTACTGATGTCACCCATATGCTGAAGTCACCCATGTACTGACATTACCGATGTACTAATGTTTTCAGATGCTGAAGTCACCCATGTACTGATGTCACCCAGATAATGATGTCACCACCAGGAGCTGATGTCATAACAAGGTACATATAA